ATTAGAATTAATTAGAATAAGTATTTTGAACTGGAATATTTTTAGAAAAATTTCAATAAGAGTATTTCTTTAGAGTATTTTTAGATTTTTTTTTAACTTTCTATCTCTTATGATATATTTTATTTTTAAATTAAATTTTTATATTTAAATTTTTATATTTATTGTTAAAATATCATGATATAAATTATTTGTCATAAATCTAAAATATATCTTATATTATTAAATATATCCAATCTTTACAAATTTTAATTATAATAATTTAATTATTTAAAAGTATATATTTATTATAAATTTCAAATAATAATTATTCTGTATATTTTACATTTTAAAATATTAGTTTTTTTTTCTTTCAGAAAGTTAATTAAAAATAGAAGTAAACGTCAGAAAACAAAATTGGGAATTCTCATAGCATTGATTGTTCGTCATTCTTTTTAATTTTGCTCCACTAGCTTGCTTTGAATTGGCATTTGGCTTTATGTAGCATTCAATGCGTGTTAATCTGAAACAAATATTACATGTTTTTGTATCACTCGTTAGATTTTGCCTGAATTTTGTAAAATCTGTTCTTGTGTAGGCGCTGAACCAAATCTGCACGTTATTTCTTCACGTGTTTGATCTTATTGCTCATATTTATACTAAATACTTAAAGTCTTGTATGTCACACTCACACATACAAGACTTTATTATGTATTATTTCATCTTATCAACTCATCACATGTGATCCATGTAATATATCTATTATTTAACTTTTATATACACTTGACTCAATTAAACATATACCTCATGACAGTGATGAATATAAAAATTTTAAGTAGTGAGAATAATATTTATATATAAATTTATAGTATTAATTCTAAGCGTGTGGTTCAGTGGTAGGAGTTGATCCACACTTAAGCAAGGTCAGAGGTTCGAATCTTGTCTTGTCTATGCAGCCGCGTTAGATCTTGGGGCCAGCTATCCCACCCGTTGAGGTGGCTCCAACGTAGTGAGGAGATTAGTCACTGCTATCGGCCCTGGATATTACAGGGACGAACAAAAATAAATAAATAATAGTATTAAATATGTAATTTACATTTTCTTGAAATATAAATATATAACAAATTATTCTCTATGAGGTTTCATATTTGAAAAATATTGAATGATTTTCTCATTTTCAACACTTTCATCTCTTTCTATATCTCATATAAAAAATTTGACATTTTTTTTATTTTAAAAATAGTATAATATGAATTTAGGTTAATCATCACTCCTTAATTTCTTTAACAACTGGACTTAACTATAATCATTACTTTCATTATCTCATAATAAGTATGGTTTTAAGTTGTTCTACATATACTAGAAAAAGGAATCTTGTGATTAATCTTCTTTACTATAAACAATGCAATACAATATTCACTTTCTAAAAAATATTATGAAGGGTATAAATGAAAAAAAAAATTATATCAAAAAGATAACAGAACACTTATTTAGGATTTAATTTTTTTCAAACATGACTCTTATTATGAGACAGAGTATATTATATATACTATAAATAAATACTTCAAAAACTTAATATATTAACTTTGACTCTTTTAACAAAATAAAAATATAGAAAAGAGTGAGAACATTTAGTTTTTAACATCGCGTACATTATTATAAATTTATAATGGGCTTAAATATGTTTTTAATATTTCAAATATAAGGTAAATTTATTTTTAGTCCCTCAAATTAAAAATTGGTCCTTTTATTTATTGTAATTTTAAAAAATCTTGTTTCAGTTTTTATACTCAAATTTTGTTAAAAAATTTATAAAATATTTTCATCTAAAATCTATCTACTGACACCTTTATCAATAAAAATATCACATTAAATTTAATTAAAATTATATTATTATCTTAATTTGTCATTTATATATTATTGATGACTTAAGAGACTAAAATAAGATTTTTTAAAATTACAGGAACTAAAAATAATAATTTTAAAATTAAGAGCATAAAAATATATTTAAATCTTGATAATATATATATATATATATATATATATATATATATATATATTAAATATAAAAAATGTTAGTAGGGGCAATGCCCCACTTTCATGCATGTGGATCCGTCAACTGAAGGGTGTATTTGATTGTGAAGTTATTTTAATTTTTAAAAATTATTTTATATATTTTATAAAATAATTTTTAAAACTAAATTGTATAAAATAAGAATGAGAAAAATAGGTGAAAGTGTACAAAAGAACATGAGTAATAATAAACTAACATAACTTAGTGATGTTCTATTCTTAATTTTAAAAACTAAAAAAACATCTATTTTGAAAACAATTTTCAAAAACCTCACTTTTCATGAAAGAATAAAAGAAAAAGGCATCAATTTAAAAAAAAAATTCACAGAGACAAACTCTTTATACTTTAACCTCTTTTTTTTTTATTTATAGAAATTTGTTAATTTATAAATTATTTTATAAAACTTAAAAGAAATATCGACTTGAATATCCAATTCAAATTAATTTGAGTAGTTCAAATTGACTAATGAACATTCTCGATTTTGAATATAAGTAATTTTTTTTATATTTATAATTTGAAATATAGATTAATTTTCAATTAATCTCACTCTATTTGTTGTTGTTATCTCTAAGATACTCCTTTATTTAATTGAAATTGTATTTTTAATGTTTATTTTTATTTTTGATATCAAATTTTAAATAAAGATAGTTTAGAAAATACTCAATTATTATTTTTAGATGAAATTAATAAATTAAATGATGTAAATAACATTAGTTAACGTAAATAGTTTTTTTTTTTCTATATTCAAAGAAGAAGTATTTAAATATATGAATGAAAAGGAATCAAACCAATGAAAATTAATTAGTTTGGGCACGATATTTCTCCTAAGCATGGGCTACCTAAACTTATGGGCTGATTATAGGCAAGAATATAGACAAGAATTTTCAAAAATTATACCAAACGTGTGTTGAAAAGTGCAGCTAACTTCTTTTATGGGCGGATTAGGTACTCGTAACACTAGATTTTTTTTTTTTAATTTTTATATATTAAATTAATAACATTATAAAAAAATAATTTTATGCTTATGATAGTTATCATCCCTTTTACTATTTTTTTTATTTTATTTTATGAAAATAGACTTAACTCATCATAGATTAATGTCATGTTAAGATTTTGTTTGGATTTTAAAGGACGATTTACCCATGCCAGTTTCATCTCATGTGGCTTTTCAACTGGTTTTGGAGCTGCTTGGAAGGAAGCCAAGGTTGAAAGTGGTTCCACTGTAGCTGTTTTTGGTCTTGGGGCTGTTGGATTAGGGGTATGACTAAAACAAACCTTATATTTTGTTTTGAAGCTTTAATTTTTATTGTAAATGAGATTGACCTTGTGCTGGGAGCAACTAAGATAGTTAGCATTGACAAAAATGAGATGAGGAGAGAAAAAGGAGAGGCTTTTGGAATGACCCACTTTATAAATCCTAGTGATTCTGCCAAATCTGTTTCCGAATTGGTTAAGGAACTGAGTGGTGGGATGGGTGTGGATTATTCAATTTAGTGTACTGGAGTTGCCCCATTACTTACTGAATCTTTGGAAGCCACAAAAGTTGTAAGTTTTACCTCATGGAGTAGTTTTGTTGGGTCAAATATTTCTTGATGATTGAGATTTGTATGAGATATTTTCATCATGTTATTTGTTTTCCTCATCATTATAACTTTGTGTTTAGTTCCTAACTTCTATACATGCAGGGAACCGGCAAAACAGTTGCAATTGGTTCGGGAACTGAATCGATTATTTTATGTTCTCAGCATAATCGATTATGCAAGCTCATAATCGATTATGTGGCATGCATAATCGATTATGCTTCGTTCCTCTGCTGCATGGCACAGTCTCTGCATGTATGGAGTAGGGGTATTATGGAATTTTCTCAAATCTTATGTGGTTTTCATCTCTTTTCTTCGCAAAAATGCGAAGACGCCCAACGCCCCTTCTCCCTCTTTTCTTCGCCTTTCTTTCCTCGTAAATTAGTAGAAAAAAAAGTGAAATTTCCTCGCCTTTCGTTCGTCGTGAACAGTAAATCAATAGAAACAAACACTACCTTACAGGAATTCCCTCTTCAAGAACTACTCACTCACGAGGTCCCATTGGCAGATATAAACAAAGCATTTGAGTTATTGAAACAGCCCAATTGTGTGAAAGTTTTCATGAACATGTCACATTAACAAATGTTGCTATATTACTGGAAAGCTTCAAAAAAGATTGCATAAATTCATCGACGACTGCGAGTTTAGAGAATATATAAGTGGCTTTTTATATTTGCTTTTAAAAAACGTGTCATTAAAGATGTTGGTCCTCAAACAAATGTGGTACATTCAAGCTATTCTAGATATGAACTCAGTCTTTATAATGTTTACTATTATTCAAAGAATTAATAAATAAAATTTTCACACTGATAATAATGTGTGTAGGCTTATTATCCAACCAACGGCAGTGATCAGAAAATCTTGGTCCCACCGGGCAACAACATCACGACATGAGTTCATGACCTTTGAAATTGCCAATGGCTCTGCAACATTTGTCTTGTCCTTGTTTAAATGAAAAATATAGAATAGAAATAGAAAGAAAATTGCAGCTATTTGGTAGGATGGAATTATATTAGAAATTGAGAAAAATTAAAAAATTTTAAATTATATTTTATAAAATTAAGTATATATATAAAATTAAATCATTTATACAATTATCATTTTATGTTGTTCTTACTTTTTCACCTATGTGCAAGAATTCTTTTTTTAATCTTTAAATGTGTAATTATAATATATAATATGATAAGTTAAATATAAATATATTTAAATTTAATTAAATATATAAAATTTTTATTTGTAATATATTTTTCAAATTAAATTACTTAAATTTAATTAACATGAATAACTTTTTAATTATATATAACTCATTCAATGCACTAAAAAATTGAAAAAACAAATTTCAATATTAGAAACCATAATTGATTACGATTCTTTAGTAGCATAGTTAATTATGGTTCTAATTTAAAATAATTGTAATTGATTATAATTATGCATTGTGTGATACATGTTCAAGTTAGGGATAATTTTGACAACAAATTTTTTAAGTCTATGATTCCCTGCAAATCATCGAACTTTTAGAGATATGAAATTTGACATGAGATTTCTCAGTAATTCTCGGCTCTTCCTCTCTCCAAAAATGTGATGGTGTTTTCTACTTCCTTGTATCTTCCCTCCATTCCACACTATTTCCTGGCTCCCAAACGTAGTGATGGTGAAACGTATTTAGATTCTTTGAATATAAGTTACAAAATTCTTTTAGAACTTTTCTATTAAAGGTAAAGAGTATTTTTCAATATAAAAATTCTTTAAAATATTTTAAACTTGTATATTATAATCTTTTAACAAATTTTATAATAACTTCAAAATAAACTCTCGTTTGATAAGTTTTTATTGAATTCATGTTTAATCAATATATTTAACTATAGGTGGACAGGATGAGTTTTGTAGAACAGTATGGGAGTTGGTAGTTGTAAACTTGTAATAGAGGTCAATTTGGTTGGTTTTATTATCAATCGGTATGAATTAATAGGGTGTACAAAAAATTTAAATTGATACAAACTAATTTATTTTAAAAAAAAATTGATTTATTTTGAGAAAATTTACTTTGCAAAATCGGATTCAATTACGATTCATTTTTACAAAGTAGATCAATTTGATTTGATTCTTTTAAAAAAGATCAATGGGTATAAAGTGAATAATTGCATTATACCGATTTAATCTAATTTTTATATAAAAAAGAGTCATATTTTTAATAGATTAAACCGATCCGCTTTACAAAAATTTGGTTTGGTTTTTTCAAAAATTTGATCCATAAACATCCCTGTGAATTGAAACCCCTTCAAAATAAAAAAAATGGTAAAAGTATTGATCAAAACTGAATTGAAAAAAAAATGAAAAAATTGAACTCGTCTCCCCTAAGATTTGTTTAAATGATACACACATTTCATCTAATTTTTAAAAATCAATTACTTCCCTCGCAACTTTTAGAATAACTTCATTAATTAAAGTGAGAAAATGAGAAAAAATAAAAGTCAATTCATATTTTGTCAATCATATACGTTTCTATTATTTGTTTTTGAATTACAAATAATGTTATGTCTTCTTTATAAAAAATTTCATTATTCTTCAATTTTGAAAATAATAATTTTTCAACTTGTTCTTTGAGATAGTTTCTTGAAGTTAGTATAATTTTTAAATCATAACACATATAATATTTAATATATAATTTGAGAGTTAAAATTGACTAAGAAATCAAATTACATTCAATTGTTGACACTTGCATTAATAATTTTTCTTAATAGTACATAAACTAGTGTTATCTTATATAAATAATTGTATGTGTCACTTAAATAAATAAATAAGAGAGGTTAATATTTACTAACATAAATTATTAACTTAAATTAATAATTTTTTAATACTATAATTTATTTATTTTTGTTCGTCCCTGGAATATCCAGGGCCGATAGCAGTGACTAATCTCCTCACTACGTTGGAGCCACCTCAACGGGTGGGATAGCTGGCCCCAAGATTTAACGCGGCTGCATACACAAGGCAGGATTCGAACCCCTGACCTTGCTTAAGCGTGGATCAACCCCTACCGCTGAACCACACGCTTGGGGTTACATAATATTTAATATATAATTTGAGAGTTAAAATTGACTAAGAAATCAAATTACATTCGATTGTTGACACTTGCATAAATAATTTTTCTTAATAGTACATAAACTAGTGTTATACTTAAATAAATAAATAAGAGAGGTTAATATTCACTAACATAAATTAGAAGAAAAATGTGTCATTTAAAAAAACCTTAGGAGAAAACAGTACAATTTTCCCAAAAAAAAAACATAACTATTTTTTTTTATTTTAATTTTCGTAAGTCGCATATTGTTTGAACAATAGTTGTCTGTTTTAGCAGTGTTGATAAAAATATAACGGAAAAAGATAGAACAGCACTTCACCGCCCTAAGTTCTAATCGAATTTTTTTTTCAATGCTCCAGAATTATGTAATTCTCCCATTTAAACTATGATTAGTCGTTTAAAAATTAAAAGCATATGGCACATTCATTAAATTATGCCACTTATATGTATGGTATTTCTTTTTCTAATTTTTTTCAGAAGAATAAAATGAAATAAGTTTTCAATTATAAGTCATAACAGTGAAGGAAAAAAAAACTCAAAATTGTGCTTGCTATAGCCAAATTTCACATTGAACATGATACCTAAAACCAAGAGTTTAATGCAATCTCACTCGGTCAAGGTCACATAATTTTAGTTAACAAGAAAATCCGGGATAAAATAATACATACAACCTCTGCCTCTGTATAACAAGGAATCATCTTGTCAAGGAGAGGGAGGGATGCCTTACTGCTTTCAGAAATCAACTGAGCAACAAATGATTCAAGTGTTCATTGATTATAACATTGGAAAAGAGAGATGATGAAGCCAGGAACAAAGGAAAGCCTGTCATAAAAATAGTCATCCGCAAGTTCCTAGTAACATTTCTGAAATTATGCGGCTGAAATTCTCTTTATATATACAAACAGCCGTAACTATGCGTTCCGAAAAGCATGTATTTAAGGTAGTAAAGAGAAAGCTTATTTTTTGCCGGGAACATGAACAGGTGGACGATTACATACATGGATGGGCTATAGCTTTGACAAAAGCATCTGTAACAAGATAATGTACATGATTAGAAATAGCAGCGCAGCATATTTATTTGCCCGTCAATCTCCCAAAAAGGAGAAACGACGGATTCACATCAGGCAAAGGCTCAGTTTTTGAAACAGGTTCCTTGTTGGAAGATGGAAAGGATAGAGACAGGGAGAGAGATGCAGCAACGCTCTCGTCGTCTCGCTCATCTGGACTCTTTTCCTGGTTATTTTTCCTGTCAACAAAGAAAGGCAGCATACTATTGTGTGACGCTTTCGTTTCGCACCCCAAACCAAGCTCTAGATTTGGAATCCCAACTTGAAATTGGTCCACGTACTCATGATGCCCATTCAGTGACTCACTATTCAGCACCGTCCCTGAGACATTTTTATTACAAGTATCGACAGGAAAGAAGGTTCTTTCCTTCGTTCCAAAGTCCTCGTGGATGATTTTCTCATCACAAGCTTCTTTGCACCCTTTGTCCTCAACTGAAGAACAGGAACCAAAATCATTTACAAGTGATGCAAAACTGCCATTAAAAGATCCTCTGGCTCCGGGATTGTAACATCCGTAAATTCCACCAAAACCTGTTTGCAGCTTCTTGCAAGAACTTTCTGTGTCTTCCAATTTGCCGTTTACCTCATTCCAAGGCATTTTCTGACAACTGCCTGTAGTTGCCTCCACAGATGTATAAGAAAGATCTATATGCTGAACTTTTTTGTCATTAGGGAGCTGACAGTTGACCCCTTTCACAGTCGGGTCTCCCTTTGCCTCCATGTTAATATCGATATCATCTTCCATCTGTTTCCTTTTAGGCCTTCGTTGATTTTCATCATTGTTTGTTGTCTCCAAAATTTCATCCATACTGATATTCGTTGCAGTGTCTATCTCCTGGCATCCAACAGAAGGGATCCCCGAAGACAAAGAATTCTCTTGCTTAACAGAAATATTGTAATTAATTTTTGTTTCCACAATCCTACTACTTACACCAGTTCCCATTGCTTCAGGAGGTTTAGACTCTGTGTATTGTCGATGCTCTGGTACACTATCTCTCTGCAAAACCAAGAACATCGTTCAAAAAACAATGAGATGACTAGCAGCGGGACTTACTCTTCATAAAAACATAACTTGTTTTCTCTCGTAAAAATTGGTCAACATGATCTCTCACAGTAGCATTTTCTTGTTATACTTATTATAGCTATGTTTTAATACTTCCTTGTATATAATACTCCCCCAGTCCTTTATATAACAAATAACTAATTTATCAAAAACAATAAAAGTAGTTAAGATGGTTAAATTTTATCAATAATGTCATAGAATTAAATTTCATCCCAAAAACACCCTTTGAATTGATTGGTTTTAGTAGTGGTAGCATTAAACAACACTACACCTAATTCAAGAGATAACTTTTTTCACTAATGAGTGTAACTTGTATTGATTATGCATTTATTAATGCATCCACTTACATAAGGGTATAAAAGAAAATTAGTAATCAATACATCTTAAAGTACTCGTTTCTTATAATTAGGACCAAAAAAAGTGTATCCATTTGTTTCTTATATATAGAACCAGAAGGAGTAATTGAATGATCAACAAGTTTATATAATTAACAACTTAACCTCATTTAGGACCATCAAAGCCTAATTTTTTTTTATATAAAAACTAATCTACATATTCTATTATCCAGAGAATCAAAATAACATTTTTATTTAAAATTATACAGATCAGGATCAGATCACAATGTTGATAGAATCTAAGCAGAGATTTATATCAAATAGAAAACAGAAACTTTTTGAGTCTATCAAGTGATGTATTTAAGGTTAAAAACATTACCAGAGACGAACCAGCAGGATTCATTTCTTGACACGAGTGGGTACCAGTGGTCGGGATCCCTGGTGTAGATTTGATGTTGATTCTACTATCTTGTCTCTCTAAATTTACTTGCAAACCCAGATGTGCCTGGTCAAAAATAGTTTCTTTGCTATCAAAATTCCTACTTATCGTATTGTGACCTTGGTCAATGGAATCTTCATCCATGCGCTTCAGTGAACACCGAGTTTCAGACAAAGTCATGACAGCAGTAGGAAAATCCTTCTCATTTGGCATCACATTCAAACTGGGAATACATATATTTTTTGCTGAATCTGAATTATTGATCCTCCTCCCTCTAAATATACCCCATAGGAAAAATAACATATTCCAACCTGCAGAGACAGTTTATACAATTGATTTTCTTATTAAAAAACATTGTTAGTTTGTTAAATGGATAAACATTTATAACTTCACTCAGTAAATTGCCATACAGACCAAAATGAGCACACCCCACCTAAAGGGAGAAAATTCATAGGCCAAAGCATAACACTATCAACAAACTTATGCATGCCAACTAGATGCAAAACAAATAACCACTTTTGACCAAAACCAAATTCAGTATAAAGCACTATCCATAATTATGACTTTCATGATATCACTTATCTGTTTCATCCTGACGAGTTGTTTTTAGAATTCCAACATCTTTTAAAACAATATATAGAATCCTGATTCAAAATCCCAAATAGCTATCCTTTATAACAAAATATAAAAAATACAACATAGAACAAATGCAAGTAACTCTGTAAGATACAATTCCCATTCTGTCTGGTCCAAGACATTGCAAAGTTGCATATGAACTAAATTTCTGCAGAATTTGAACACTAATGCAGACATAGATTTCAACCTAGTCACATCATTCACAAATTGCCAACTATCAAGGATCGTGTAGGAAGTCCAGAATAATTTCTTACGTTGAGAATTTTCTGGAAGCTGATTGGATGCAAATATGAGAAGTTCAACACCATCAAGGGTCCCCCTAAGTGCTAAATCATTTCTAATCATGTGATCCAATAGACCCTTGTAGTGTCTTTCATAACTGTAATAGAAAAAAGTTAAAAAAGTTAAGTAATTAAAAAAAGAAATATTGTTTGTACTTCAAAGCCTGTCAATAAAAGAGAAATATTCATATTCTTGCCTTTCAATGTCTTCTGCAAAGAAGTAAAGTGCAATATTATCTTCCTTGGCACCACCTTGATGAAATTGTGAAGGCCATGTGCTCAAACGAGAAACTTCATTCAGGGCAACTTCAGGTAAAAAAAATTTCACCGCCTCAACAACCTTGGGGGAAGCACACGCGGATAAATGTGCTTGAATTCCAGTATACAAGTCAGGAGGCTTTCCGTTTCTATGCACTTTAAAGACACCCCTGCATGAACAAAACTAATGAAAACACAATTGATGGCAAAACATGAACTTCAATACAAAAAAAGCAATCCAGAACAAGACAAACTAGCTCAACACAAGATGTTACATACTGCCATATGTACTCGTATTCTGGAAAAACTGACATCTTTGAAAGAACACTTGACATTGCCAAGTCATTAATGGGCAAGTCTCTCACTACAGGCTTTCCAGAAGTGAGACCAACAGAATCTGACTTGCTCAGCTGAGAGCAAAACTCAGTTTGACAAAGTTGCTTCAAATCATTTGCAGATGGACATTTGGAGGCTTCAAGAGTAGAAGTCTCAATGATTTCCTGCTTTACATTGGTTTCTTCAACAGATATACTAGTTTTCAATGTGTTGGAAACCAACACTTGGTTTTGAGAGGTGACTTCACATTTCAATTTGCTTGATGTAGGAAAGTCATTAGTTTGATCAGGAGCTTCTTTCTTCTTGTGTATTTCAGGCCTTCTAAGCAAAGCTGCCTGGATTGCAGCTTTCAATTTGTTTCCTTTATGCATCACTTTTGAACTACTTGTGGCAGTGACTGATGCTTCAGCACCAAATTCATGTGTACCACTATTTGTGCAACATTCTGTAGCATGGCCAAAATCTTTACATTTACAACAGAATGAGCTTTTTGATGCATTAGTAATACCTGACCTCACACGATCACTAGAACTATCTTTGATTTTGTCGACCTGATTAGATATCTCCTGTGGTCGAGGCAACCTATCCTGTTGAGTTTCATCAACATTGGTCGATGTTTTATCTGCAAAATTCAAACTAACTAAATAAGAAATCATCTTTGCAGAAAACATAAACCATCAATGGAAGATGCTTCTACTAGAAATAAGAGAAAAAACTATAGAAAATGCTGTTAGTTGTTACTATAGAAACTGAAATATCAAAGGCAGCTAATTGAATCATTTAAAAGAAGGTAGAAAAAATAAAATAATATAACAGGAATAATACACCTCCAATCAAGATCATCCTCACACCTGAACTAACTTGCGGTTCTGGACTTTTAGTGCTGCTAGACTTAGATACTGAATATAATTTTCCATCTTGGGTGACCTTAAACTCTCTATTGTTGTTAACTGTAGAAGGTTTAGCAGTTTCACCACGTGGTGTATGCTTCTGATCACCCTTTGATGTAGATACAACAGAACTATCCATGGTTGAACGAATGACAGGCCGATCAATCTTAGACAGAAATCTCCTGTCAAATGAACCTGATTCTTTTGCATGTCTTGATGCTTTCAAATCCTGAGCAGTTCCAGGCTTGGAAGAAAGCATTTTAACTTTTGATTCAATAGCACTTGAACGACCCAAATTTGAGGATTTAAATGACATTAATTTGCTTATCATCCTAGAAGGTGTCTCCATATTCTTAGAAATATGTTCGACACCCCCTTTATGCTTTTGGGGAACAACTTCATCAACAAGTTTGACTTTTGGCTTGGAATTGAAGTTGTTGAATGAATTAGACTTCAACAACGTACCTATTCATAGAAACAAAAAATGGGCTTTAAATAAATGAAGACATGACACTCAAGGAAACTGGAAACATGATATGTTTACCACGGAATCCATAGCTACTTATAAGGAACAAAGAGAATAAAGTATAACATTTTAATAAAGCACAATAGATGTCAAATAAGTTCTTACTCCTTGCATTTTGACTCCGAGGGCCAGTGGAAATAGAACGAGTAAGTTCTTTGTCATCACCACCAAGGTGGTTACGCATGGGGATCTGTTGACCAGATTTCAACTTTCCATTATCTACGTTCTTGAGCAAAGATTCGCGTGATAGTGGACTTATTCTCTTGGGGCTTGATGCCTTTGGTGATCCTGTGCTCGATTCAAGAGCTTGCCTTTTAGCTGCTGTAGCTATTTCTATGCTTTCAGAAGGCCTTTTGCCAGGAGTTTGTGAAGTTGAACAAACCTTATGAATTTTTTTCCCTTCAATATCTAAACCACAAAATTAAATTTCACAAATGTTAGCACAGATATGGGTACTTGAAAACTTGTGTTAACCAAACAACAAGAATAAAGGATGCATAACTTCAGATCCAAGGGCACCTTTTTTGCAATACCGCACACAATTTTTTAAAAACAAAATATGTTGTATACATGCTTACCTAGCCTTCGATTTGCAGTCTCTTCTGTGTACTTGCATTCTTCACATAACCAGTCCCCTTCAGGGACCTTCTCAAGCATTTCTCGCATGCAGTAGCTGATTCAAAGATATCAGAATTTTAAGATTTGTTTTAGCGAAAAGGACCATACAACAATATGATAGAAGCTAAGAATAGTTAATATTAAAAGATCTTGTGCATACGTGTGCTCTGCACCATCACTGCACCTACTACATATGGCAAGTAGATCCTCACGACCAGCATCTCCACAGATGTCACATACTTTCACCTATTTTTCCAGTCAATTAGAAAGAAAAAAAAAAAAAAAAACCAGTAAGCAACATCAGAAAAGTTTACAACAACAAAAAAATAACAGTTAAAGCAAGAGATTATGAAAGGGAGTATGTGGAGTATTTATAAACTGACTTGATTGCTTAGCATTACCCCCAAGCCTCAAAATTATTGAGAGTGTGCATAACTATATCTATCTTCATCCAATTTCAAGCCATTACATTCTACATCTCCCATTGTCATCTCCATCAAGTTAATTTTGATGAAAAAACAAACTAAAATAATGAAAGGAAATGTACTCACATCATGCTCAACAACATCTGATTCGTCACTCTCGTCTTCTGACTGAGGTTCAGCCCTGCCAGGTGATTTAACCAGCTCCTCAACCTTCTCATGCAGTCCATCACGGGCTGAATATTTATGATCTTTGTCTTTAGCAACATCAACATTATTTTCAGTATCTGCTTCTGACTTTGGAGATATTCCTATTGAATTCTCGGCTGTGCTGTTATTTAGGTTTTCCTTATCTGCCAGAGATTTTTCACCAGGAACAATAATAGGTACTCTCTCTTTGGTCACTGATGAACCCACATTTTCCATATAGCATTCTGGCAACATGTCAACAGATGGCCCATTTCCAGATCCTTCTGCCCCTAAGTGACTAATTGAAGTTGAACTACAAGAAATGTTTACTCTATCTGTATTTATTTGATGACTACTGTTCACTAAATTAGCATTACTGGTCCTACTGATACAAGTGCTATTGTCAAGACTTTCTAAATACTTGGAATCCTGATACCTCTCTGATAAGGCTCGTCTATTCTCAGCATCTTCAGATAGAGAATCATGAATAGAAGAAACACTAGTCATGTGACTGGTTTCACTGACAGCATGCTTCAATCTTTCACACGCTCTGCTCCTAAGAGAAGATCTATCACCCTTGTCAGTGCAATGCTGATTAGCCTCCCCTAAGCGACAGTTTTCATCAGAAAATTCTTCAGCTTTTGACCCCATGTGAGCTCGGTTAAGATGCATGCAAGATGAACAAGGAGCTGAGCACACATTACAAGTCCCTGATTCGAGTCTCATATCAGCGTTCTGAATCATAGAATGTTTCACAAATTTCTTTCCAGATTCAAGTGAGACCTAAAATAAACAAAGCATGATTCAAAAGAAAGATAAAACCTTCAATTCAGACTCCCACCAATCAGAATTTAGCTCTTGGTAATTCATTTACAAGCCTAAGGCTCCCTCCAATATATAAGTTTTACACTTTTACTATGACACTAAATATGACCAACACAAATGAAATGATTTATCACAAGTACAAAAGCTGCATTATATGTTATTCAAATATATTATCTGTCTATATATTTTTGAAATTCAGTGATTACTAGCCTTCTCTTTTCCATGTTGGGTGTATATTTGGCGAGGAATGGTTTACCCAAACATATGGAAATCATGTTCAAGGTTTTGGGGACAGGACAGCAGTATATTTGGGCGTGTGAAGCTTATTTATATCTATGAATTGAATTCTTAACCCTACCACTCTTATAAAACTGGGTATTATTTATCGTTTAGACTTGTGTATGTCAGATGATGTATTATTTATCGTTTTTTTTTTCTCATACATGCTAAGAAAGCATCATCTGAATTAATGCCTCTGTTTTGTTTGAATTTTTACTTGAACTGCTTAGTTTAGGATGAATCATATTTCTTAGTTCTTACCACATGTCTTCTATCAATAAACACTTCTTTAAACAGAAGGTATAATGAAGCATATAACTAACTACACCTGAATCCAAATCACAGCATACCTTGCATGTACCACCCACCTCACCATACAGTCAATGTGACTAGAAAGTGTGTGTAAAGGCTAATTTTGAGCTAACCAAAGGACGACTTGGTGACATTTTACAAACAAAACAATTACAACAACAGTAATAATAACAAAATAAAAAAATAAAAATTACAAATTTCATTCTTCATTTTTTTCATTAAAATTAAATTAATCTATACAAAGACAATACTATTCCTTTAAGTTTGCTTTTATATGAGATGGTTAATGCACAAAAATGTCCTCCACCATCTTTATTTACCATCTATTTCTAGCTCAAATCATGTTAGGTCCTAACATGGACTACAAATTAAAGAAATAACAAGACTCCCAAAAATAGTAGAGAAGGAAGATTGTTAATTTTCTTCTAAAACTCATAATGCTCTACTACTTAGGAGAGAAAAACATAATCATAATGATACAATGGTAGGGATAAAGAAAATACTAATTGAAGAACATTTAAAAAGCAACTACTTCCCAAGAAACTTGCCATTCACCAAGATTTGAGCATCTAAAGTAATCAGCAACATAGAAAGCTACTTGTGCAATCATCAAAAGCATTCAATTGTCCCATCAAGCAAGAACAAGGGGAAAATAATGGGGGGAGAAAACAAACTTATCAAGTAATGTGATCAAAATAAGGTTGCTATTACACATCTATGTATAAGAACGGATAGCAATAAGAGAGGAAAAAGGACAGTTTGTGAATTACCCTGTTAGGTCTTCATATTCTCTTGAATATCATGATCACTCAATGTTGAGGTTCTTGCATACGAAAACTCCTTTCAAAACTGAAAGCATCTAGAAAGTAAATTCAGACCACATTAACAACCATCACTTACAAGTTACAACAACAATAAATAAATAGCATGCGTGTAAAAACACAAAAAACTAACGTAGTGATTGCAAATTTGCAACAAGCTATAAAATGGTACAAGTCTAGTCAGTCAACCAATGAGGCAATGACGCAAAAAGCGAAAATCTCCTCCAAATCCCTTCACTGACAAATCAAACCCTAAAACACACACACAAACACACTGAATTAGCTACGAGAAAAATAATCCAACTTCTCCAATGTTCTCGTATCAGTACAAGGAAAAACAAAAATCCGGCAGTATTACAAAGAAAATCGATGAAAAAAAATCCCGAATAACAAAAATAAAAACCCTAACAGGTAATGAATTGGCATGCCTCTTCCTTCCAAACCACGTTGGTCGCATTGCACAGGGCTCCCTAAGGTTCAGCCATTGCATATGGTACTCAGGCGCAAAGTGCCTCCTGCGGCGTCGTTTCGAGTCGTAAAAACTTATCTTCGAATTAAGAGGAAAATCAGAGCTATGACAATCCGTGACGACAACCAACTCAATGCGAATTCAAAGATATGCAAAAAGAAATTATAGAGGATCTGATACAATCTTTTTGCATTTATGAATTTATGAATAACAATAAATTAGCACAACAACACAAAATTTTCTGTCTGTGATCTGAAGTGGCGAAAGAATTAATCTCTGAAACGGATTTTTCCCAGAGAAATACATTTAACCAAACTCTCTCTCTCGTTTTTTTTTGTATTTTTTTTTTATTTTCTGTGGGTTCAGATAGGTTTTCTCTTCTTCCTCGGAGAAATTTTGCTTTCACTCTCTCTCTCTCTATGAATTTTTTACATGTTAGAAATTAGAGAAATAAAATGAGCGCAAAAGTAAATGCAAAAACCAACAATTTCATTTTCCAACTTTATTTTATTTATTATTTTCCTGGCAGATTCTATACGGGTCTTCCCACGTAAGATTTTTTTAAAAAAATAATCAGTTACTGTTTGTTTTAAAATTTAAGAATCTTGCACCTGCTCTTTTCGTTAGGTTTGTTTGGTTCCAAATTTGGTACGTAGACGCAAACCAAATTATCCAATTCAAACCAAGTGCACCCCATAACCCAATAAATAATGCACCATGAAACATATAATATACTTGTGGTTGAAACATGTGGAGAGGTTGATACTTACAAAAGTCATGTATGTGAGTAAGTAAGGTAGACTGCACAATCTGTTGCGGAAAAACCAAAGAAAATGTTGACAAACCCATATTTGTTTGGATAAGAACAAATATATATTTAAAATTTTAATAATAACCTACTCAACTGATTAGTGCTGTGACGTGACAATATTATCCTACACAAAATCGCCTAGTAGTAAATCAATGTGTAGGATGGAGTATTAACTTTTTTATAATAAAACAAACTTTTTATTCTTTGGCTCAAAAGTTAATTATGTAGCAAGACTTTTTACAGAAGTAGACTAGCCAGAAATTCAGTTGGGCTAACTACATTTGGACCAATCGTCTTTACAGGCTTGTCTAGCATCACCCAGATTCTATTAGATCAATAATATATTGGGCCATTGTGATTCATTATTCAATCATGTTGGGTTGTTTGTCAAAATTATATGTTTTGTAGCATATTTACAAATACACTTAAAATAAATTGTATTTGTGATATAATATGATAAGAGAAAGATAGAGGAAAACTGAGAGTATCAAATAAGTGTTCATAATATTAAGGAGTCCATATATCAATATATAATGAGAAATATTAATAAAACATTTTTATAAATACACTAATTGACACTTTTTTTTTAATATTTTTTTATCATCAATCAATAATAATAAAGATCGTGTTAAATAATGTGTTTAATATAAAGCGATGTTAGAAGTTAAGATTTTTCTAGATACTTTAAGAAAATATTAAATATTTATGTCTGTTTGTATCTTAGTTGCATTTGGTGTGGTTAGGTATAATTAAGTGGAAATCCATATTTCAAGAGATTTGTTTGTTGCTTGGACAAATGTTTAGGTAAAAAGGAGTGTTTATCTTTATTTTGTGGAGATTTACTGTAGCATATGATATGCATATCAGAAATCTCTCTTGTCATATATTTGATGTAATGCAACTCTACGGAGAGTGTGGAAATGAATAATGAAATTGTGTAACCACTTTTCTTCCTTTCATTGAAACAAAAAAAAAACCAGAAACTCAACTTCTCTGTTCCAGTTTTTTCTGTTTCAACTTCTCTGTTCTGGTTTTTCTTAACAGACTTCTATATTCCTGTTTTCTGCGAAATTCTCTACAACTCCTTGTTCTCTTTCTTCTCATTCCACTCCTCCTTTTCCATCTTCAAATCCAAACAAAGCCTTAAAGAAAATGAATGAAAGGTACAGCGTGCACGTGTGAGGACTGTGAAACGCGTGTTGCGAGTTGCGTGTGAAGTGACCGGGAACACGTGGGAAAGTTGCGTGAGGGTTGCGTGGGGCAGGAGTAACGCCGCTGTGGCAGGCCTCAATGCCTCACATTTTGCGTATATCTTCAAATTATTTTCTTGCCATATAAGTAACAAACAACGAGCGAGTATATTTGGGCCAACATGTGCGAAAGGCAAAGGGAAATGACCCGAGTTTGAATGTTGAGTTGTGACTCGTCCGATCTCACTAGTCCGGTTCGGTATGAAGGAACTTTTTGCAAGTTTAAATTTAAATCTATTTTATTTGAAGACATGTTCAGTTTAACTCAGTCTTCTTTTATAAAATGTAATTTAATATAACTATATTATATATTAACAATACAATTTCTTGACTTCTTAAATAATATTTTAATTAACATGATATAATGTTTATAAAATTTATAGTAATATTATTTATCTTATTATACATATATTATAAAATATACATTGATTATTAGTGTCAATAAATCAAGTTAACCGGATCCTATCCTAAATATTTTGAGTCTCGATGAAATCCACAAAATTAATCTTATCAAAATCAGACTAGACAGGGGCATGGTAAACAAATTAGAATTTAAGGCCACTTAGGGCACTTGCAATCTTTCTTTTTTTTTTTTTTTCATTCAATCTTCATTAAGCACTAGCAAAACACATACACCAAGGCAGCAAACTAATATCGTGTTTGATGTCGCATTTTAAATTTGACTTTTAGAAGCTTATAGTTATACTACTCATCTCACGCACGATTCCTTCTTCCTAAATGAATTTTTAAACCCGCTATGGCTTCATGGATTTCACTTGTGTTATTAGGCACTGGGAGGGTTGGTCACTAAAATCAAAGCAGATTCCTTACTGAGTAAAGATATGTAGGATGATAACACAAAACAACTTATCATTCTTTTTCTTGCTGGACACATTACCGCAAGATGACTTCATATTACCAATTACATGTGAAAAAAGTCTAGACACTCCAATGAGTACCTGATGATCTAGAATAATATGCATATACTTTTAAGTAATCTCGCTTAAGAAGTTGGAGAAGAAATATACCAACATCATAAAAGAAAAAAAATTCAAGACGAACTGCCAATGTATTTGAGTGGAAATTTCAACCCCCGATAATCCAAAATTACCAATTATCTATAACTATGCAACTCTTCTTTAGGTCCATGGTACCGATCCCAAGGGCCAAAACTATCCACATCCAATTCATTCTATGCTTAACAACGCATAAGCAAATATACATTGAAGATATTGCCCAACAATATTTCTGTTCAGAAAAGTCCACTTTCGATAGAAAATCATCCAAAAAATGGGTATTCTAAAAGATTTAGCAGCATGTGCATCTATTGATATAACTATAACGATATCAACCCCTTCACTGGTGATTTGCTCCAGCATCAGATGTTCTAATCAGCTATTCAATGGCACATAAAAATAATGAAAGACCTCTATCAGCTATCAAATAAATTCAAATGCATCCATCTGGAAGATTTAAACATTAATGTTCACTAGCCTGGTATCAAACCTTCCGTGGCATTAGGAACTATACATGCATCTAGCGGGTGTGTTTCTTGTTCTACATTGAAATAAATAAAGAACATGGTAAGTAATTTATTTATCAAGTAGGTAGAAGTCATGATGCTTGAAAGAAGATTAACTGAGATTTAAGTGGCAGAATTACACTCACAATCAATTGGATGTTTGTCAATTTGGCGAGATGTATAATGCGCAGAAAGTAAAAGCAGTGAAAGGAATGCACTAGCCACAAAAATTGCATCAAACCATCGGTGATAAAAGTCAAACTGAATATCACCACCCAACACCTCAGTTATAATAATCCTGCCAAGAGATTCAAATTAGACAACATGAAGATAAATACCTGATGATCTAGGGAAGTTTAATGAAACAAGGTTTAATTAATCTTTTAGTCCTTATATCCATGCTAACTATTTGTTTCAGCTCTATACCAAAAGACTCTACATTTTAGTTTCTATACTAGCAATTTCTTTTTTAAGTTTTAGTCCTTGTGCCTCCATTTTGTGACGGTTTTACACAACCAAAAAGCTAACAATACCGACTAAAACTTAAAAAAATTACCTGTACAGAGACTAAAAATGAAAAGTTGACACAGATGTAGGGACCAAAATATGAAATAATAACTATATTTCTGCATGACAAATTTGCATCAATCAAGACAAGCGCTACAAACTAACAGGCCCAAACTTTAGTCCACAACTACTTTGAGTTTAGTTCTAAACCATGAAAACTATTCTACTGATTGTATAGATATCATAGGACTATTGATGTAATGTTGTTCATTCTTCCATTTCCATTTATCTTCTCCCTTTATTGCTTTATTATGAGGATGTCAGGAAATCTCATGGACAATTTGATTTTAAAAAATGTTTTTTCAAACTAAAATGCCATGCCATCATGTTCTCACTTCTTTTGTTGACAACTTTTTGTCAACATTTCATTGTACCTCTCTTACCTTCATATTGATGTGTTGATATCTCCATCCATTAATAAAATCTAAAATCCAAAATTCTGATTATTCTGGACAGGTTTCTACTTTCTACTATGCAAATAATTTAAAACATAATTAATGAATAGATTACTACTTATACCTGTATTCAGTTGCTAAGCTTTTCCTGATTAAAAGAATAGAAGATACAAAATACATTCCCATTATCTCAGACAAAAACAGAACTACATTGCTTGAAGATCCACTTCCAACTCTTGAAACAGCAAAAAAGAACTGCATGCAACCCCAAAAATGGAAGTTAGTCACATTTATAACAAGTCAAAAATACAGATTACATACTGTATCACTTACTATATTTAGTGAAGCCAAACTGTACCTGGATGCATGATATAGGACTAGAAAAAATCTTAGCATAACGCTCAAATACACAAAATAAATCTCAAATCAACCACAACAGTAGAAACTTCCTTCAAATTATACTCAAAACTGAAAGAAGATTTTTCGTGGTTTACACCTAATAATAAAGCTTGTCCAGTCCAAGCACAAATCCTTCTAAACTAACTATAACCCATATGACATATAGTAACTTGCTATAACTCTAGTGATGTAGTTCTACCATAATTATTCCAAATGAACCTAAAAGCAAACAAATAGAATTCCTAAAAGAAATTACTGTGATAATTATTTATCCACAGCCAATACACTAAAATGTAGTTCTGCAATAAAGAACCCGAAGCACTCTAATTGTGGATTCTGTGTTTCAAGCATCATATGATGATATCATTGTGTCCCTTGCTCGAAAGTTTTCTTCTGTTTGAATTGGAAGTAGATGTTGGAGATTTATGTCATGTGTTCTTCTCTGGGACCACATATGACTGACTGAAATCAATAAATGAAAGTTCTTCATGTTGGATGGCCATTATTTCAGTGCGATGAAGATGGCATCTCAGTTTCAGTTGAAGTGGACATTTTGACATTATTTAGGTATTGATCACAGGCTCACAGCCACTTATTTCTGTTGGTCCATATTTCTACCGGAGATTGCCGATTAGCATGTTTTCTACCTTTTTTCTTATGTAGTAACAATCATTTTAAATATTAAAAAAATTATATGCATTGCAAAAGAATATAAATATTGTTTTAGACTTTGGGTAGGTTTGCTGTTGCCTCTGTTGAGGTAGGTAGATTATACATTTACTGATTAACATACATGCCAGTAAATTATATTGTTTATTCTTCCATGGCATATTGATTCTTTGGTGGATCATCCTAGATTGTAAGCCAAAATCAGGGGCTGATACTTTTCATTTGTGTTTGTGAATTGTGATGCAAAGTCATATTGCTATTATACATAGATTAGCTTCCTTTTAATGGAAATTGTCAGTTCTTTCCTCAGCAGCTCAACTGGCCGACCCTCAATGAAAGCGCAGATTACCAGATTGTAATTTTATCAAGAACACTCTTCAAGTTCTGTTTAACAGTAAAGCGTACTAATATAACAACCACCATTTGAAAGCAGCATGAATACCTTCATCAGATTTGTTAAGAATCCACGCACTGATATCACAACCAGCATTCCGATGAATAGCAAGGAAATGTACTGCACAAAAAAATGCAGAACAAATTAAAAAAAAAAAAAAAAAACCATGCAGTATCATAAATAAGTTCACAACAAATAATTGAAACATTCACAAAATATAATATTCTAAAAACCTGCTATGTTCTTTATAATTTTTTTTAATTACAAATAGCAAAATATCTACCGAGTCAACTTTTATGGAAAAATCCAAATACAAAAACAGCAAAGACATGTGATGAGCAAGTAACTAGTGGGAACTAGAAAGTACAAATGTGATCTTGCTAGAATGCATTCAGTTAATCAAATAGAGGGATTTGTGAATGACAGAAAAATTCACGAACAAGAAGAATTATTAGGGACTAGCACGCATTAGCACATAAATAGAGCATATTTGATTAATGAATTCCCTACTTTTCAACAAGTCTATTAAATAAGTTGAAAGCTATTTCTGCTTCATCATCTAAAGTGTCGATGGTGATCAGTGACCTCAATATAAAGTTCTGATTACTGATTAGAGAAAGGATCAACCAAAAGTGGACAAAGAAAGTTATCAGACTCAAAAGCAGCAATAGTAAACAAGTCCAAAGCAAACTCTTGAACTTTATAACGTAAGAGGAATTTAATGAGTCATTCTCATAGAAACATTAAGATATTTATTGTTAAGATTTAAGAGAAATTAAGGCAGAGAAAATAGAGTAAATAGGGTGCTCTAGCTTAACTGTAATCACTCTCAGTACATATATTTATCCTAATGATTTTAGGACAAGTACATGCAGTATAATTAGAACAAGCCCAACTCAATAAACTCTATATATAATAATGCCCATTTTGATCTTTAAATAAGAATGCACACAGGTTCGGTGTCACGTTGAAAAGAAAGCCACCATTTAATTCTAGAAAGTAATGGCAAGCAACTAGACTCTTACCTGTGATAATAAGGCTGCATTTATTCCTATATCAAAGAACTGAAGGAATATACTTATTATCCTTGTCACAGGATCAACTGAACCATCCTGCCGTAGAAACAAATTATCACCGAAGCACATTAACAGTTTAAGTGTCAGCCCAAAAGCTAGGAAGAAGTAATTATATTAAGATATTTTTGACAACAATGAAAGATGATCAAATTAAAGAATCGTTGAGGAATACAATTTACCTGTTTGAAAACAACACTTTGCAATGACTGCCAAAAGAAAATGATTAAGTTAGCCATACTATCTACAAACTAAAAAATAATAAGAAATCTCATTTGCTAGAGAAATGAGAAAATACTATTATCATCAGACAGACCTCACACACTGACAAAAAATATCATGTATTAAGTCAGCCTCAATCAAACTTTCCAACACAGGAATAGAATCCATAATAGAGAGAAGTAATACAAGCTGTGAGCTTATAAAACTGCATGGTGTGCCACGATAACTGATTACATGCAAAAATAAAAATAAAAAACATTATCCTACTTCCCTAATTACCTATTAATTGCAAGAGAAAAATGACCTAGAAATAGCATTATTATCTAGTATAGGTTGATCCTCCAAGAAATATATGTGATCATTTCCTATTATTATCACAAATTATTTATTACTGTTACTATTGTTTGAATTAAATTTAAAATAGAATAATAAAGAGATAGGACAAGGAATCTTTCTTAAAAGACCAAAACAGACAAGAAAGTTAAATTCATCAAACTCCCGCTATTCAGATGTTAAACACAGAAGGCAGTTTAACGTGTCAAGATTCCTAAATATAGAAATTAGCATGTCACATTTTCAGCCAACAGAATATTTTGGTAATATTACGAATCCCGCTTCACAGGCTTTATTTGGGTACAGATTTAATGAGTCAGATTCCTAATATAATTAGCAATTTACTCATAGTCTTGGAGAATGTTGCAATCAAACAAGTTAAATATTAGTTTTAGCAGCATCATTCAGTAAATGAATTTCCAGATTGATCATGCAATTCTTGCAAATAATCTATACCTTAAGAAAGCTCCAATCCACTGGTTACAACCATTAGCTTTACTAAGAATTATCTTTACTAAGAAAGAGTAATTATAACCTATAAAATATTGATTCTTGACATCACAATACCTTGATCATTTTATACACACAATATACAGAACAAGCGTAGCCAAGCAGATTCTGCATGTGTCCTCTCCAAGTTCGAGAATAAGCAGCAGCTTCCTGCAAAGTGAGTACCAGTTTTCCCAACAATCAGATTAAAGGAAAAATATAAAGTGTGACAAAGTTCAATCACATTATATTTTGATAGAAAAAGAACTCAGCCATTTTTTTACGATTTACACACATAATTTTATCATTTACTATAGCATATACATTTTTAAAAAAGAAGTTGGTCACACTGTTTTTCAGTTTCCTAAAGGAAAATGCCACACTTTTTGGTGAAGATAATCATGGTTCGTGCTGGATTACCATTGGTCATCAATTTCACATCCAAGACAGGTTTCCTCCTCACCCTGATATAGATATAAGGAGAGAGAGATTTGTGAAATATTCCATCCTAGCACCATATTATTACCTTGTTGGCTTTTGATCTTGTTGAGAAACATTATCCATATGAGGAACTTAAACCTTGTGGCAAACTTTACATTCCCAAAGGGGTTTAACAAGGAGAAACTTCTTTATATTGGAATAGTGATTGAGAAGGATATATACACACACACACACACATCATTATCAGTAGAAACAAGAGACCAAACTCTTCAAAAAGGAGACATAATTGTTTCATTTATTCTTTAACAAACTTTCCACACAGGCCATTAGCATTTTGAAATGTAATAAAAGCACAACACATAACTATATTGTGCTGAATTTACTTCAATAGAACAAGGCATATAATATGAGGATTGATTAAAGGGGTACAGGAAATTAAATATGACTACATACACAATTCTAAAAAGTAAGGGTAATCCAACATATAGTAAACCTTTGCTTGACGAAGCTCATAGATTTCCAAGAACAATTGCTTTGAAAGCTCTTCTAAGGCCAGAACTTCTGCTTCCAAGCCTTTAATATCTACAAATTCAACAAAATAATAGTTTAAAATTTGTAATTAATAATATCTCTAACATAATTACAGAAAAATAGGATTAGATGGTTAGAAATACCACTATTAAAGAAATTAATTCACAATAAGTATTCAAATAAAATAAGAAATTCACTTATAACCCCTCAAGTAACCAAATTTTGCTTCCGAATTCCAATCAGATCTAAACACACTATCATACAGATTAAAGACAGGGGCAACCCAATTCTCTTAATATCCAATATGGAAATCCCTATAAAATATTCATTAGCCATTAGCCACCAAGAAACCACAAACACTTTTCTCGAAGAAGTTATAATGGTCAGTAAGAGAATTTCATTGAAAACTCAAGCATTAGTGTCCAACCATACGCACCAAATCACTGCATAAATTCGCCCTCATTATATAATTATCAAAAAGGATAGAAGCTTTTCAGCCTCCGTCTTGCTACAGTACACAGCCTTTACTTGCTTTGTTGATCATATAATTCTGAACACTTTGGCTCCCCAAAATTTAAATTTCAAAACTGAAAGGTTCAAATGGGCTTTTAAAGAGTAAAAGAGAACTGACCTTGCTCTTTTTGATCCTCATGCACGGATCGAACAACCGTACCAACAATTCGTTTAATTAGAGACCTAGCATTTAACTTCTGCAACAAACAAGTTGAGATAAATCAAGAAAATGGTAGGAAAGAAAATGACAAATAAAACAGGATAATACCACTATGCCTTGACAAACAAAGTAACAAACCTTATATGTTTTTCATACCCAGGAATCATGATTCCTAGGAATGACTATAATTTGTTTGGTTGGTCATAAAAATTCTTTGGAATATTTATATATGTTTCTTAGGAATCAAATATTTTTACGATTAGTTTTAATAGAACTTTACTAGAAATTTTAATTATTTACCACATTAATGAAGGTAATGTGATATTTTTACCAAAGTAAAAGGTGTCTTTCAACTTGGGAAAGTTAGATTGTCACCTCTCCCATGAGAACAAATTTGTGGAAAACATAAGTAAAAAGGATTTCAGGAAATAATGTTTTTCTTTGGAATGTTATTTTTTAAATAATAAACTAAACATGGAAAATGAACATGCTTACTTCAGATTCCTAGACAACTAAAAACTTCTTGTGTACCAAACACCCCCTAAGTAATAGCTTCCCCCTCTAAGGAAAATACACCTTTTACAATTCAAATCAAATGAACTTTACAAAATTTCTTATAATTTATGAAACTAAAGCAAATATCAACATATTTATTTTATATGTGTTACAGATATTGTGAATATATTACAGATATTGTGGATACATATATTATGGTTATTATCCTCACTATCAATTAGGGATATGATTAGATTAGTTTCCATAATATTAGAGATTAGTATCTCTATCATTTATTGTATTCACTCTATAAATAAGATTGGTATGTGTACAACAATACACACAATTCCTGAATCACAACAATATGTAAATCATTAATTGTTATTAAGGCCATAGTTGTCAATCTTGTATAGCAGCAAGTAGTGGCCAACTATGAAAATGCTATAGCAGGATAGCCTGTTTTAAATATTAAATACAAAATATATAATTTATACTACACATATAAATACTCAAAGCAAAAAATGAAGAAATTCATGATAAATAATTAGTCACAGTTTACACACACAACATCGAAGTAGGAGCAATAAGTGCATAGCAATGAAGTCAGAAAAATAAAAATAAAAAAGATGATGGTGAAATTAATAGAAAAAGGAGAACATAACAAATTACACCAAATTTAGCAGAATGTGAACTATGGAGTTTAAAGGAAGAAGAAAAATGGAAAGTCCTGTAAAGTATGAAGGAACAGATGTCAAAACAGAGATAACTTTTTGTGGAATGGTCAAGGAAGAATGGTTTCAAATCCTATTATGTTTCTAAAGCAAAAAAATGCTTAGAAAAGAGGAAAGAGATCTCAATTTAACCCAAAAAGACCTTAAACAACATTGTTTTAGGGGTAAATATGAGTTTTTGGAGCTTATAACATGATAGTGTTGTTGCTATAACATGCGAAAAGCTGCTATTGCAGCTGCAATGGCCACTATTTGAATCCCATATTGGCCCAGGACTACTACTCTGCTACCATTTATAGCCCGCTATTGACTACTATGGTTAAGGTACACATTCACAAATTCCTTTTTAAATATTGACTTGTGCCATACATGGCACTTTTTGATGGTTGACACTTGACACAAACAAGGGAGCTAAATTTTATGCATATATGCAAATGAGGGAAAAATCAATAACTTCAAGGGAGTCACTATACCCTGATACTAGTTACAGGATACAGTCATGCTCATGGCCTCCATTTGGTGATCTACTAATTGTAGCTTTGAGGGAATTTATATATCTAAGAATATAAATAAATTGAACTACTTTGTTGCAATCTGAAGTCACTTCGGCTTACTATGTGTACTCTCATTTTTTTCCCTCGGGTTTCATGTCTGCCCAAGGTGTAGTTTCTCTCCTTTGTTTCCATTAACATATTCTTTCATCAAATTATAAAGGTGCGGTAAAAAAAAAAAAAATTCCAATCATCATCATAAACAAGTTGAAAGGAAAAAGATAAAAACGTAACCTCTTCAGATCCTTGCTTGTGCTCCATCTCCATCTGGCAAAGAATAATTTTCTTTTTCTTTGATATGCAAGTCTCAATCGATTGCATTAGCTGTCTCTCCAAGGCCTTGATTTCAGTTTCCTCAATCTCCCTGATGAAAAGTGATAAATAACTGTACGGGAGGTTTACTGCCCCAAAACCGGACAGGACAGCCATGACAGTAACACCAATGACCCCAATTCTACTCACCAGTTGAGGCATGGTGAAGAAACCTGAAACATTAAGAGTATGTTTGGATTCACGTGAATTATGGTTGGATGTGGATCATCAGAAGTAACAATTAGTTGCTTTTGCATCAATTTTGATGTAATTCTTGTTTAACCATAGATCGTGGATGTGAAACCAAACATGTACAAATTTGGAAACATGAAATAAGAAATAAACACGAGGAAAGAGCACGGGAAAGTGAATTAGTAGTATACCTTTATCAGGGGAGGGCATTGGAAAGTGAATGCCCATGCGCCAAAAGGCATAGAGAAAAGCAAGCAAGAAGAGAATTGCACCAAGAGCAGCCCTCTCGGTTCTGATGCCGCTGTTTTTGAGCATCAAGTAACAGTGGTAATAAGGGAGGAGGAAAACGAGCAACAGAATCAAGCAGAACAAGTCCACCTTCCAGTTCACCACTCTTGCCCTGCACAACAAAATAGAAACAAAATCTAAAATCTGAGAGTGGTTACTTGAGTTTGTTAGGGTTATGTTACATACTCTTTGGAGAGAATGGGAATGATTTCGAAGAGAACGAGCTGGAGAAGATTGCAGGAGAAGGCGAAAACGACGCTGAAGATGATTTGAACGAGGACACGTTTCTCTTCGTACTCTTTGTAGAGACGACGGTTCAAGAACCAGAGACCCGCCCAACCCAGCAAGCACAAGCATCCCACCACCGACGCCCCTTCCAACATTCCCCTTACCCAACCCATCTCTGTCTCAATTCAATTCACTTCTTCTTCTTCTTCTTCCACTCAGTTACTTCTCAATCAAATCAACAACCATCGCATCAGATCCACTGCTCCAACCAACGAGCCCTCGCTCGCTCTTCTGATCTTATCTCGGCTACAATCAACAACAACAACAATATGCGATGCTTTCAATTCATCAACCACCGATTCAAGTAAGTTTAATCACCTCCTTCTTTTCCTTTTCGTTGTCCAACTGCATCAAAGGTTCATACACTTTCCCATCTCAACTCCTTATTATATTTTCGTTTCATTTATTTTACTAATTGTTCATACACAGTCCTATTATTTTATTGCAAACTTTTAAGTTCGTTTCTTATTACCAGTTAGAACTTTAATAAATTTATTTTCTCTTGAATATCGTATCTTTCCATACAAATTAACACTGGAATAAACTTATTTGTATTTTTTAAAATTTAAACTGTTATTTATCAAAAGCAAATTATTTTCTTCATTTCTTAATTTGATTCTCTATTAATAAAAGCTTTACACAGTAAATCAATAAATAAAAAAACTTATTTATAAGATTTTAAAATAATTATTATAAAAATTAGCAAATTTGTCATTTATGTTAGATTGTAATTGAATAATTATATAAAAATTATTTTACATTATCAGTATATTACTATTAAATCCTTATTAAAAAACCTAATTTAATCTTTTAATTTTTTAAAATAATACAACATAATTATTTCTATCAAATTGAAATTAATGATGTTAAATTTTTATAATATAATAAGAAAAATTAATTATATTAAATGTTATTTATGTTATGAATCTTATGATTTAACTGTGACATGCATGTGATATTATGTTCATAGGAATATTCATTAATACATAATTCTTATTAGTTTATTTTAAATGTTTTAGATTAAGCAGAATTTATGAAACTAGAAGAAAATATGTTTTCTTTGATGTTTTCATTGTTCAACATTTTATTATAGTTGATTAGAAACATAAAGTTAAGTACTTCTGCAACAAATATTGTTTAGAATTGTATATTTAAATTTAATTAAATGTATTGAGTTTATTTTAAACTTTTTTTTTAACAATGTTTGTATGAATTGTAATACTCATGAAGGTCTTACATTTTTTTGGCTATGAACCAAATTGAACAAATTAAGTAAATAAAAGACTTTAAAAAGTAACTTAACCCCCATATTATATGAATTATTAAAATTCATCTAGTAGTTTAAACTTTTAAAAAAATATACATAATCTTAAATTTAAACATTATTATTGTGGTTTCTAAAACTCCTATATTATATTGAATGTGAATGTTATTATAGACTATCTTTTAATAAGATTATCTTTGTTTAATTTTATTGAATGATTGTGTTTTTAGAAATTTTTCTTAACTTATAATATGTTTTTTTTTTTTTTACTTTTACTAGTTGAAGAACATTTCAACATGTTTTTATAAATTTTTCTTAATTTTTATCCCTTTTAATGATTATTCTCATTTTAATTCTAAATTAAATTTCAATAATTTGAAATAAATTATTTATTATAAAATTAAAATAGAATTATATGGAAAAATATTTATTTACAATAAATTTTAATTATAATATAATTTTTATAAATAAAATACTTATTTATTATAATTTTTATTATATAAAATAAAAAACTATCTTGTATCTTAAATATGCTAAAATTATTATTTTATTTTATATAAAAAATTATCATAAATAAATACTAAAAATATTAGATAAAATGCCGCTAAACTATAATTCTATCATAAATAAATGTTAAAATTTCATAAATTTTTAATTTTTGTCAAAGAACTTGATAGACAATTTTTAATGAAATCTCCTCTCTTAATCATGTTTTTTATTCAGAAGATTTAAATTGAAAATATTGTTTAAAGGAATCGACTAATATCTGATTTTTAATATTACATAAGATAAATATTTATTTTATATAATTATAACTTATAGTAAATAAATATTTTTAATATATAAATTATAATAAATTAAAGTTTTAATAATAAATAAAATATTTTTAATATAAATTATATTTTAAATTTATAATAAATACTTTATATTATAATATAAAATTATTTTTCATTATTGATAATTTTTAAACAAATATTAAAATTAATATAAAACTAAAAGTAAAATAGATAAATCATAGGAGATGAACTCCAAGCGTGTGGTTCAGCGGTAGGGGCCACGCTTAAGCAAGGTCAGGGGTTCGAATCCTGCCTTATGTATGCAGCCACGTTAAATCTTGGGGCCAACTATCCCATCCTTTCAGGTGCCTCCAACGTAGCGAGGAGATTAGTAACTGCTGTCGGCGGTGGATACTCCAGGGACGAACCAAAAAAAAATAAAATCATAGGAGATGAGATATTGAAAAAATAAATAATCTCTAAAAATACTCCTATAAAAACCAAAGAAAAGAGAGTAATTTGGTTTATAAAATACTAGTTTCTAGCATTTTTGTCGACCAAAGAAAGAGTAAATTTGGTTTGGACTTTGAAATGTTAAGATAAATATTGGAAAGAAAGTGCTGGAACTATATATTCATTGAACCTATTATACGAGAAAACCAACAAACACTCCAATGGACTACATCTTACATCCAAAACTAAGAAAGGCTTTTCGTAAGTAAATTCATCAGCTTCATAATATACATATTTTGACAAGTTTGGCAGAGTCACTATACTTCATTATTCTAAGCTCTTAAATGCAAAACTAATCAATCTCAAAAGCTTATGGACCAATTATAACCGAACACTAAAAAAAAAATTAATGAGCATATTAACGCAAACTAGCTCTAGTTCTATTAATCGTTGACAATGACTACACAACCTTCCTTTATTTTCAAGTTCTCTGCTATGGCCTATGGTAGACGTTAAAATTTTTTACAATCGCCTAAGCTGCACTTTTCTTAAGGTAGGCAAAGACGGCAATAGAGTTGGAAAACGAAACAACCTAGGACAGTCATCGATTATCAGACTTTGAAGGCATAACATTTCATCATTGCTTAAATTCCACTCTTCATTATTCCACTCTTTTGATTTATAAAAATGACCCAAATAAATAACATAAAAAGTGGCCCGAGAAAAATAACAGAAAGAGCATAGACACATAAGAGAAGCTATAATTTTTTCTTCTAAAAATTCTTTTATTTCATTTTCTTGAAACAACTTTTTCTGTCTTTTAATTAAAAAAAAAGTTTTCTAACATACCCCAGATAAAAATGAGGTTAAACAACTCCATTGTTTAAGTACTATGGGAAGAAGGTGGACCTATAGCCAGGACGATGCAGGAGGACTGATGGAAAAAGTGGAGGTACTCTATTAAAATTTTCAAATTTGACTTTGTTGTTATGGATATTTGTCACAATCATCTTTAATCATATAATTCTGTAGTATTCCTTGTCTTCATTTCTTGGATATTGAAATCGTTATGTTAATCTCCAATACTCAAGAGACAGGACACGGCTCCTGTAATACCCATTTTATTATTATGGCATTTTTGTAAATTTTCAAAGGTATAGGGGTATTTTTGTAATCTTACTATTGGATGGCATTTTCGTATTTTTTATTAAATTTTTGGGGCATTTTCGAATTTTGGAACGGGCTGTTCCAAAAGCGGAACGGGCCGTTCCAAAAGAGAAAAACATGCGTTCTGGGTACGTGCAGAACGGGGCCGGAACGGGCCGTTCTCCAAAGGAGAACGGGCCGTTCTGCTTGGAGAACGGGGCGTTCCCCTTGCAGAACGGGCCGTTCTGCTTGGAGAACAGGGCGTTCTCCTTGCAGAACGGGCCGTTCCGAAAGGAGAACGGGCCGTTCTGCTGGATTTCGAAACCGTGCACACCATTTACAAGTCTCTACATATAAACACAACACAAGACATCATCAGAAAAAACCAGATAAAAGGAATGTAAAAGGTGTTACCAAAACCACGTACCATATGATTATGAACCATCCCTATCCAAATCCATGTAATTAATCATGGGATCCTTAATTCTTCCATAACTGCATCTTTTTTCCTTATGAAGCCATTTCTCACTCTACATCTACTAGTATTTAAAGAGCCTAAGTTTGATCAAATATTAAACCCAAAACCAAGTCCTTTGGTTTTTCTTCCTTGCATACCCTTTGGCCTTCTTTTTGTTTTTCTTCCTCCATGGAATCCTCTAACTGGATTCTGAAACATGTATCCCTTTTACTTGTTTTCTTCCTTAGCCACAGTTGTTCATCTTCTGAGGCTTTCTCTCCCTCGCTTTTGGACCGTGTGGTTACCAACACCACACACCTGCACCGGAATTTCACTGCTGTATCACAATTCAGAACCATTAACAGACAAGTTTTGGATGATTGTTCTGCTTCAAGTCCCTCTCTTAAAGTCAACATCTCCTCAAATTCTAGCTTGTCAGATGAAGAGTTTGTGACTGTCACAGTCTCTGGCGTTTCCGATCCTTCAGATGGCGATTGGGTTGCTATGATCTCACCCTCCAATTCTGAGTAATGATTCATTCATTCATATCATATAGTAAATAACAATTAACAAGAAATTGGGTTTTGTTTGTCTGTTTGTTTGATTACACATGTGACATCATGACATGCAGTGTGAAAACGTGTCATCTGAACGAGGCATTTTATCTGCAAACTGGTGACACTGATAAACTTCCTCTGCTTTGCCATTACCCTGTCAAGGTATGTTTTACTTTTCTTCTTTTTAAATTCTTTTAATGCTCCACATCTGTTACACTCATTTTCTTAATATTTCGTCCAAACAACGTGCTTTCATGATAATGTTCATACTTCACACCATGCCTCATAAATGACCTATATATTATATCTTTGTAGGGTTTATGAATTGTTTGGCAAATTATTAATAACTTTGTCCTTCATTTTCAACCACATTATATCTCTAACTACCCCCTCTCCCTCTCCTTTCAACCTTTTAACTTGCTCCTTCACATTCATTTGTGATTTTGTGTTCTTATTGTTTTTTGTTGTATTCATGAAATCTCTGAGTTTCCTATGTGTTTTTATTTGAAAAACAATCAAATTATTTTCTGAAAGGTTTAGCGTGGGTCATATTAATTCCTATATGATAAAATTTTATTTTACATAATATTCTTGAAAATGTATTTCTTTACTCACGTTAATCCTCATGTTGAGAATTTTAATAATTAATTTGATTGATATAATCAATCCCTATATACCAGTATTTTTATACATAACTAAAATTTATGATAAATAAATTATATTATGATGTAAGATTATTTTTTAATTATTAATAATTCATTTTTAAAATGTTTAAAATTTAATTTATAAATAAATATGATAAAAAATTTAATTGATTAAAAAGTTAAAAAAAATCGTTAAAAATTCTCTCACACAATGTAATTGCTTTTTTTTTTCAAAAGGATTTTTAAGGATTCTTTTAACTTTTATTTAATTCAAAAATTTTTATTTATTTTAATTATTTATCAATTAA